CTACTTGGTATCAAAGGCTACTTAAATCTTTCTTGAAAATTTCACACACAGCGTTAAGAAACAGGAAGTCGCTACTCTGAATGGTTTTAATAATATAGAGTGTTTTGCAATCTGCTTCAGCTCGAATGTGCTTGGACATGTAGTCCCAGACAGGAAATCCCTGACAGTTGTATCTTCAGCTTGATCTTTTACCTGTAAATGTCATGGCATTTACAAGGGCTGCCAGCCAATGGAGAGTCCTTTAATAATACTAAAACAAATGAATATTTAAAACTAATAGAAACTAATGTATAACAGCCATCGAAACTACTGAAGCCACCCTGGACAGGTTTGGCAGTCAGTCACAGGGCTGATTTATAGAGACAGACAGCCATTCATGCTCACATTTAGACCTACCTTTACAATTTAAAGCTGCCAGCCAGACTTCCATGTCTTTTAACTATGCCAGAAAACTAGAAGAAACTGGATAAAACCAAACCCAGGACAGGGGGACATTTTAAGCTGCATATATGAAGGCTCCAGTCTGCCAGGACCCAACATAAATGGGCACTGTGTGCAGAATTTAAGGTATTTGCATGACTGCGTCCAAGTCTTCTGTTGCACCAGTTGGAGGATTTTTATGTATTTCAGCGTATTTTCATATTTAATCAAATACTGCCACTTTGTTAAAGGCACTGGCATCTCAGAGATGTGCCCAAGATATTTCAGCATATTCTGCGTAGGCGTTGGTGCAGTAAACCAGGTCTTGGCAATAGTGAGATGGGTCTGACTCCAAACTCATCACATTTGGATGCTTGTTGAGCAACCCCTGGCATCATGTTTAAACACACTTTGTGGCCTTAAGTGCAGAAGAAAAAGGGCACATTTAAACCTAAACCACTAGAATTTTCTTAAACTTAACCTGAATGAAGAACAGTTTAGTTAAAGCTGTAACAGCAGCAGCCACATTTCCCTCCCTCCAATGGTAATATACTAAAAAAAAAAGTTGATAAATATTTTAAACCAGACTATTCTACAGCACTTTTGATCAGGGCCCACTACTGCTTCGTCACCCTTATTAGCTTACACTCCCTGACAGAAGAATTTAAAAAAACACTTTTTTAAAATTAAACTAAAAATAGAAGTGGGATTTGCAGTGTAGCCCTTTGGGATATCCTTCTGAATGTCATCCCCTTGCAGCCCTGTCTCCAGTTGAAGAATGTGGTGGGAGTCAATCGCACAGAGCAACAAATCTTTAATAATGCACAGTTGGCCAAAAGCAAGCAGTTTTGCATTCCTCTAAGAAACTGTCAGCTACATAAAATGCATTATGATTTGTTCCTCTCTTCAGATGTGAGATGTAAGTGATTCATTTTGTCTTTTAAAAGGATATTTGTTTGTGGCTTAATTCAAGTCTTTGTGGATGGATGATTTTCACTGGCTAGGCACTTTGTCAGTATCCACTGCTGACCTACAACAAACAATTGCCCTAAGAGCAGATGTGGGAATACAACCAAGCACCAAACATTACATTTAAAGTATACCTAGGACTCTGTCACAGCACTAAAAAAAAAAAAAAGTTTGCAGATTTTTCTTGCCAAATAGTTACAGACAGCTTACCTCACTGTGACCAAAAAAGAACTTTTCCTGACCTTGAGTGGACTCCATATGTAGTGACTTGTACACAAACCTGCTTTCCAGTTATATGCCTATGAAAATTTCCTGTAAAACAAAGGAGGGTGTTGTTATTCACCTCTCCTCTTCCTTAGATGTAAAGTGCTCACCTGTGGAAGTCTTCTCCTTGATACATTTATCGCCTTTCCTGCTCAGCTTCCTTGTAAATTTCTTTAAAACTGAAGCAGCATCAAGATTCTTTGGAGAAAAGGTAGCTGCTTCAGCGGGATCCACCTACTCTAAGGTATGGAAATCCAAGCAAGCTAAACAAACACCCTGCACATGCACAGTGAGCGCACTGATGCACGCACAGAGGGCTGTGGATTTGAGATTAGAGGTCAGTACCTCCTCTCAGGTGTGGCTGTGGTGTTCTCTCTTCTAAAGAGTAACAGAAGAGCAGACTTTCCACCCATTTTTAGCCTCATGACATCATACAGTAAAATGGAAACCTTGGGAGACCTGTGACATTGCAAAACTCAAGGTTTCCAGTTAAATGTAAATAATAAGAGAAGGGGCTATGAGTGCATTTGCAATATTTGTTGTTGAGTAGGGTGGGTTTCTCGACAATTTCTGAATGAGCAGTAGATTCTTTTATGCGTTACTGTCTAAGGCATTATAAATAAGAATATTGCATTTTCTCTGGTATCTCAAGATCAGAACTGCAACCATAAATAAGATGGCCAGCAGTTGCTTTAATTCTTGCAGTTCTCCCTGTAAGTTGCAGAGACCAACTACTGTGCTGCTCACTGTTTAATTGGCCAGCCTGAAAGGTGTCCTGCACAAAGCTGTAGAGAGCACAGCGGATGTCTGTGTCTCAGGAGTAAGAGCTAAGTTTAGCAAATCCTCTCAGTGTGTTTCTCAATGACAGCACATGTTGGACGGTCTTGCAGAGAAACTCACGAATGCATAACCTTACATGCCAACATGCTGCAGACACACAGGCACTGCTCATAGCGTATGTGCTGTGACAGATACATGCGCACACAGTGTGCTTCTATGCATCTGGACACATGCACAGATTGTAAATAAGTGCAAATTCAGGGAATTGTTTCTCAGTGTATTTTCAAGTACTGATAATGATGACGTTACTAAATTTCAGCTACGAAAAAAAAGCAAACAAACGCCTATTTGCACAGCTACACTCATCTTTAAGATGGTCAGAGGTATTGAGCCTTAAGTTGGCAGAGATTCAGTAACTTGTCAAACTTTACTTGGGTGAAGAGAGCGAACAACAGGGTGGAGATTGTAACTGGGCTCTTTTGCTTTGAGAGACGTATTGAAGTAGCTCTTATTTCAAACTCCTGATTTGTGACGGTCAAGTCCATTTGAGTTTTGAGACAGACTCTAGAGTTTGATCGAGAGAAACATTTTCTTAAAATGATCTGTGAATTACAAAAAATAATAATAATAGCAATTTCTTTTTTGTCAGTGATAATGCCAATAGCATGATTATACGCTACACTATAACCAAAGGCGCCAATATTCTTACCTGTGACAGTCAAATAATACTATTTAAACATCAGAAAGTATCTTAACCCTCTCTGCCTCTGGTATCAACACAGCCTGAAGGTATGCCTTTTGTCATGTCTCCCAAGTACATCATTCTATTATTCAATTTTTTATGCCTGCCAGTGGAGCTGGGCGATATGACCAAAAATATTTATCACGATATACATTTGAAAATTTGCAATAACGATATAACTGACGATATAATTGACACTAGACAAAACACTTTACAACTCCACAACTTTATTAGTGCAAAAAAAAAACCCATCAATGTATTTTCACTTAAACAAGCAGCTGTTTTTTAAGTGCATTAAAGTTATATAAAAAGTTTACAGTGCAAATGCAAATTCCTTGCTGACAGTTTAACCAAAAGGCATTTCCAGTGGAAATTGGCCGACATATCCTCAGCATAACCACGTATAATATCCACAAAACTTAAAAAGAGGTTATACACACGTAATACGGTAATACTATGTTGAAGCACAGTACGTATCACTCCGCAGAGGCTCCTGCCTACGATAGCCGTAATGCTCCGACAATCCATCAAGTGGTGCGGGTTCCTAGCTTAGCAAAGTCGTACTAAAACATTTGACAGATTTCCGTGCGCCGTGTACGACATAAAATTATTTCGAGGTCAGTAAACACAACCAGAATTCATACATAAGGCACACGGGATTATAAGGGGCACTGTCGATTTTCAGAAAAATCAAAGGATTGATTTTAAGTGTGCCGTATTTTCCAAAAACCACAATAATAACGACGGCCCGCTAGCATGCTCTACCAAAAGTAGTGCTTTGTTGTTTATCTGACAGACGAAAGCCAAACCAGTTCCACACCACTGAAGTTTTACAAACCAATTGTGGTTCATCTGTTTCATTCAACGATTCGCTTTCTCCCTTCTTGTTCTCCGTCATCACCATGCTTTTTCCGCCATGTGCATATGAAAACAAAGGCCCTGCGCATTTTACCCATATTCTATCGTGATATTTTATTTTCTTATTGTTGCCCAACATTATACTGGTATTACCGTGAACGGTATGATATGGCCCAGTCCTAGCTGCCAGTCAGTTTGTTCCTGATAAGTTAATATAGGCTAACTATTTCATTTGCAATTGAAATAATTCTAAAGTACTTTATAATGACTGAAACAATGTGCAATAAAAATAATAATAATAAAATAATGATAATAACAATAACAATAACTTTATTTTTGGAGCAGTGTGTTTGAAAAAGTGCTCATACGTGTCAAAACGTATAAAAACACGAGCATATATCATACACTCCTTCCTGTCACACACTTCCACACATTAGATGTGAAAAACAGCCAAGAATATTGGGTGAAAGATTAAGAAAAACCTAGAAAAAAAAGAGTTATCAGCAAACAAAACACAGATTCAGCCACCTTGATAGGGTAGGAAGGCTCAATCTGTGTGCAGATGCAGCTACAACCTTAAAAATGTGGTGGCCAATGGTTATAAAATAAGAGCATGGAACAGTTAAAAGACCCATATTCAGAGAGGCTGATAGGTGGAATTGGGTCTCAGCAGGTTTACTGTATATTTGTTTGTAATTAATGAAAAATAAAAATGAATTTTGAATTTCACTGGAAGACAGTGATGTTAGTTTTTGTTAGCAGCCTACTTGGTATGTTCTGGACCAGATGAAGATGGGAGGACTGCCAAATGTGAAAAGTAAGTGAAAGTAGTCAAGAAAGCACTGGATGAGCTTTGAGATATGAGATTCAATTTAAATGCTGGTCAAAAGTACTCACAAGGTTCTTTGCAGATGGTTTTTGTGTCAAATTGTGTGATACAATTATTTCAACACAATTCATTTCCTAGTTGTAAATAGATTGTAAATATAACACAATTAAAGTTTACTTGAAATGGCAAAAAGTTAAATGATGCAGAAATACACATTTTTAATGCATATTGTGCAATTTATATTGTAGAAAAGCATGTTACATGTTTCACACAATATACTTTATAAATCAACTAGCTTTACTAAAAAAACAAAACAATAACTGCTTGGAACTAATGTTTTAGATGTCAATAATTACATAACTACACATGTTTTGAGAATAAATAGGTCAACAGTTGTCTGTCTTTTTTATTACAGCAATTTATTCTTAGAAGCATGAGGATGTGTTTTATATGGGAGTGATCGCTGCAGGTGCAAACACATAATAGAGTTCTAACGATCACGTGGTAGTATAGGAAGTAGGTATGCATTAGGTGCTTAAAACCAGTTTAGTTTAGTTTGTTTTGCATAATTAGCAGCACTGAAATATACAGAACTCAGATTTAATTATTAACATTGCTGAAATTCTGCCTTTTATAAGATTGTACCAAAAGCACCTATTTCACATGTTGCTCTATCCAGTCTTGAAAGTTTGCAATTTGTGTGTGAACTGTGTAACTCGGTTGGTTGCAGTTGTTTTTCTCAAAAGATGTTGCTCTCTCTAAACCAAGCAGCTGCCAGCCTGCACTAGAGGCTCGGTGAGTATCCTCGTGACCTGACAAGACAGCCCTTGTGGATGAAAACACAGCTGGCATGGTTGTGATGCCTGGAATAACAATTGGGCAGGCGCTCTGAGGACTGGACGGTTTGCTAATGACACACAATGAATTGTCACTGATCGCTGTGGTATGTGCCCCTCCTTGAGCAAATTCTCTTTCACAATGAGTAACATCAGTCAGCTCAACAAGTTTTGTCAGGCTCAAGGTTGCAGAGTGGCCCAGGTGCCTCGGATTGCTTGGTAAAATCCACCTCGCGGTGTAAGCCTCCTGCGCAGTCACCTCCCCTCCTTGCGTTTTGGGTAGACACACAGGCAACACGCGCTCTCTGATCTTGGCCTTGTCTTTTAGCTTAAGCACAGCCACATCAGAGTCTGGTGAGGAGAAAAAATTTGGATGGACTACTATCTCTGAAACCTGCTGGGGCAGAAAGAGAAGATGAGGGAGAATTGGAAGTTAGACTACTGAGTTGCATGCCAAGTTTTGTTGTTTTTGGAATACACATCAAGATTAGATTATATGCATGCAAGATGTGCAGAACCAACGAAAATATAGCTGCATTCCATGTAAGCTTTAAGTGCATATCAAATATGCACCTTATCCACTTTATACCTTTACAAACAAATATATATCCAAAAAATAACTTCAATTTAATTAAGACTGATTTTTCTTTTTTTTTTATCAACTGTTGTGCTGCAGAATTTATAAGCATTTCTGCACTTTATGACTTACAAAAAAAGAAAAAACTAATGTAAGACCACATATTTATGAGCACTGTTTGGTCATTTTCAGGCCAAATGGTGGCTTCTAGGTTTAATGTGGGGTGAAAGTGAGATGACCATTTGCCATATAACCTGACCTGCAAAGGATTTACTGATATAAAAAGGCATTAATGAATATTTTTTATTTGCATATTACATGCTCATCCATTTAGACTGCATTGTTTAGGCAAGTTTAAACAGTAAAAAGTTGTCATGCATATGGGACTTTACCCTCAGGTGGTGCTGGCTTTTCAACACATCCCTGGGTGTATGGTATTGCTTGCCTATGACAACCTTCACATGTTCAGGCTGAATGTGCTGCTGCTTGTTCTTGTCTACCACACACTGAGCCACCACCAGGACTCTATGCTGGGCGACAAGAGCTCCACTGCAGGCCAGGAACCAGAATGTGGACTCCTCTGAGGCCCCCTGCTGGTCTGTTATGATCCTTCCAGGGGACGTGTAGGTGCTCGCAGTGTGATCAGGTGGTGAGCGGATATAAATGGCTGCGTGCCACGGCCACTGAGCGTCGGAGAGGTTGTGTCTGCTGAAAGCGTCAAATTTGCCACAAACTGTGACATCAGAGAGGACAAAGAACAGAAACGTATTAAATTTTACAGTGCAGATGTGAAAGTGGCTTTAAAATTAGAATCTAGCCCTTAAAAACAGACAGACAGGTAAGAATGATGATCAGTTGACTTCCAGAAATGTCAAAGAATTACTTCAAAATCAAAATAAGTCTGCGTAATTTTTTTCTTAATAAGATGTCACTGTGACCAAGATGATTCATTTAAAAGTGTCGTGACTCGTGTAACTGCAGAAGAGTCACAAAATTGCAATATAAATGTTACAGAATGAATCTAATATCTGCGGTAGGTTGCTTCTGAACTCAAACAGATCATCATTATTTCGTTTTAGTCAAACTACAATCTTTCAGGTGTAAGAGCTAAGTTCACACATCAATTTAGCTTACTTAAGAATATACTTCTGAAATTTGCTAACAACGCTGGAATGTATTGGTCAAGAAGAAAAACAAAGCCAAAAAGTGCAGTTCCTCAAATGACCACTTTAGGTTGGCTTTTTAAAAAACCCACCAAATTCCTACCATTTGTTTTTGGAATCATGTTATGAAGCCTCAAGATGAGCGTTTCCACCATCACCATCTTTGTTGCAAAAAACCTTGATATTATGAGGAAAGGCTAACGGGTAATGTGTGGTTAAAACTGGTTAACTGTATGTAACTAACAGCCTGTCAGATGAGTCTATTCCTCACTTGTAGTCAGTGAAACTAATACTTTTTCTGTACACAGAAGTACAAAAGTACACATTTGTCTTGCATGCAAAAGATCCCTGGTTTGAGACCAGGAGGAGACACAGGCTAACATACTCCTGGTACTGTACCAGCCCAAAACCAGGATAAATCAGATTGTTGCTTCAGGAAGGGCACTCAGCATAAAAGCATGTGCAAAATCAAACATGTGGCTCCACCTGCTTTGGTGACCCTTTGCAGCTAAAAGTATCATCTCCATAAGCACGAGTTAGCTGGTATTTGTGTCTGTGCAATGTACCAATATGGTGTTTTATATTTCTCTGTTTTATAAGAGAGATTTCACTTAACAAGCCAAGCCTAAACTTTTGCTGATCTCACCTGGTGAGCAGGAAACATAGTGCCCACTCCACCTTCCAGTCTTCAGACAGGTGCGTCGAGAGCTTCCTTTGTTTCGATAGAGAGGTGAAGCACACTTGTAGTCGATGCTAGTGTAAACTGGGTGAAAACCTCGAGGTATCTCGGCCAAAGAGGTGTCATCATTTTTCTCTCTGGACAATCCACCGGATGTTAGTGGAATAAAGCCAGCGGACAACAAATCATCCACGCTGTATCCGGATGAGAGGTGAGTCTGATCTGAACGCTGTCTAAAAGAAAGAGATAGTTTGCCTTTAAAGCTCATCTTTTCAGTGTGATAAGCATTGTGAGTTTTTATACATATACATACATCTTGTTTATCTTTTATTTACCCATATACAGATTTGCTTATTCATTGTTTACAAACTGATATTTCCAATATTTTTTGAGCCTCCAAATTCTACCAATGTGCTCCCACTCATGTCCTTTCTTATTTTGTTTTAGAGCTAAATGACATTTCATTTTCAATGTGTGGATTTACTCAATCATAAAACCAAGAAGAGAATAACCTATGTTTGCTTCAAGTTCTACTAGTGCTTAGCATCTGGGACACAATAAGGGGCATAAATGACTTCTTCTTTCACATGCATGCTACATTGCTTTTTTTGAATATGCTGCACTTAAGTGCGCGATTCTGGTCTTTGAAGCACCCATGGCATGAATATGAGCAAAATTCAAAGATGTGTCAGGGCAATATACCAGATAGCTACATAAACTGCTGTCACTGCTATCAAATCAAAGAACAGGGAAGAGGAAAGTCTGTTGGATTGTTCAGTTTTTTTCCTCACAAAGTAAAACCATCACAGCAATTTGTATAATGACAAAGTAACATAAAAAAATCCAAAATAATAACTTTAAGTGTGCAAAACTCATACATACACACATATAACATTACCTTAGCAATAGGTGTGGCTTCACAACACTTTGCCGTACAAGTTCAGAAACTCTGGGTTCTCGACAGACTGTGAAGGTAAATCAAGCAGGTGGCAACAATAAGTAGATGTGTATGTAAATGATTCTGCTTAAAAATATCAGGGACTTAAATACTGTAGTGACAAACACATAAGAATGTCTAATCTTTCTTTATAAACTACCCAGTTTACAATATATTACAATGTAATACTCTATACTCTATTTTTTTTCCTCATGTAACAACGAGGAGGAAAAGCAGCTACAACCTAAATCTTTCTTCCTTTTTTTTTTTGAAAACTATTACCTCTAACACACTTTGGTGACCTGCTACTCCAGGATCCATTAGAGAGACAGGTACTCTGGTGGTTTCCACTTAAAATGTAGGAGGTTTTACAGAAAAACTCAATTGTCTCAGCACCTCCAGCTGAGTCAAGAGCAGGTCTGTGATATCCGTGGAGCAGTTTGGGTGGAGGAGCGCACCGGACCAGGCTTGTTGGACCTGTATGCAGTTGAGACAAAAGAGAGAAAAATGTATTTCCTAACTGTCAATAATAGTGTGCAAACACTATAACAGAACACAACAAGCACCATGGGAGGAGTTAAAACACACAAGAAAAACCTTTTACACATGAGGGAGCAGTGCCACTCCATGTGCCATTAGGTAGACAGGTCCTCTGCTGCATGCCAATCAGCCTGAAAGGTGGCTGGCACCGGTAGTTTACCAATATGAGCTCCTCTTCTGGACCATATACAGGCAGCAGGTATCCATTCACTGGTTTGTCTGGTGCTGCGCATGCTACATTCTTGATGGCTGACACTGTAAAGAAATTTTCTGACTGTGATAAATGAAAGATAACACTGAATAACCAATAAACATAACATTTATAAGGGTGCACATTATTATATTGACATAATATAAACAGCTAAAGTAACTTATATCTATCGATAGATAGTATCTATCTGTGTAAATCTCTTAGACAGACAGACAGACAGACAGA